TTCTTTTATCAATTCTTCTTTAAATGACACCTGTAAAGTGAATACCAATTCATTAAAATATATAATAAATGAATACACAAATATATAGGAAAAATATTATGAAAAGGACAAGCCATTAGAAGCCATTTTTATATTTTAAGACTTTTCTGAATTGTTAATTATAAATCATTGTTATCTATAATTTATTTAAAAAAATATTAATTTATGTAAAAAATGTTAATTTTGAAATTAACAAATCAGTTAGATTATTTAATACTATTATTATAAAGGTGTATGTATATATATATATATATATATATATTTAAATCGCATTTTTAGTTTATATAAATTTTAATTATTCCATTATTTTCTGATTATTTTCTGAAACCTACAAGTTTTGAAAAATTTACTGCCTTTTAATGAGAGACAATATAATTATCATAAGTAAATGAATTCAAGTAGCAAGTTGACGTCATTTGTCGTCATTTTTGTCATCACTCCTCATTAAAATGTCTAATATCGTCAAAATGTCGACAGTTAATGTTAGTTTGCTAACTGAGAATAATTTGCTTACATTTTCTTGAATAGACGTTTGGGCAACATCCCAAAGAAATTCAAGTATAGTATACACGCAGGATAAAGCGACACCAACGGTAAGTACAAGAAATACGCCACCCACATTATCAGTATCTAATGGCAGTGCTGTACTACCTCCACCACTTTCCTAAACAGCAATGTGTAAACTCGGATAGATATGTAATATAGAATACGCACCACCACCAACAACAACAACAATAACAACAACAACACAATAATAATAATAATAATAATAATAATAATAATAATAATAATAATAATAATAATAATAAAAATTTTAAGTTTATCTACCACTTACCTGACATTTGCCTCCGCCTCTTTTTTGAGTCCACCATGTCTTGCGAATATCCTGAATAATACCACTTTCTGATAATTGCAAAATTGCACTATTTAAGCTATGTCGATATGGTGAATCTGCAACGTTTTTGTTATCTGTATCATATTTGTTACGTAATTATTATCAATATTTACAATATGAAATGGTTCAATTTAAACAATCACTTTCTAACATTTTTTGTTTTCAATTTTAGGAAAAAATATGTTAAAAATTATGAGGTTTAGTACCTGGAAAATTATTTATTTTTTATAATATAATAATGTCATTTTTTTATATCATAATACTTTTATATCTATAATATAATTTATATCTATAATATCATTTATTATACCATAATACTTTTATATCTAGAATAATTACATTATAATATGTAATTATATTACGTGAAAGAAATTATATGCTTGTATTTAATAAAATGGCACTTGTTAGGGAGTAAGATAAATAATAATTAGATTTTTCAATTATTATAAAACGTGATTTTATCTTACTAGCAAGAATAATTTGAACCATAGCATAAAAATATTTTAGTATGTATTTGAAACAGATAAAATAATTAATAAAATATATTTCTAATCTTATAGATTTGAAATTAATTTAAATTCAAAATTGTTAAATATTTATTCTATTTAATTATTAAATTATGTATTGCATTAGAGCGACATTCGTGTTAATAGAATTTAAATTTATTTTACGATTTTCCTATTGGCATTGTTGTTATTATATTTTCTTTTAGTATACTTTAATTTTTTTAAATATTTTGTTAATATCGAAGTATCAAATATTGGTATAATAAGGTAATATGGTAATATGTAAAATGAAACTTATTTTTAAAATTGTAAACTATGACATATTTGATCATGTTTTAATATTACATAAAATTAAATAGATTACTTGGTTAAAGCTTACTTTTTTTCATTGCAATTCCATAACTTTTCTCATCAAGGTGATCTCCAATTTGAGTGACTTCGCAATGCCGTTCTATGATATATCTGTAAAGTAATACATACATACATAGATACACAACACACACACACACACACACACACACACACACACACACACACGTGTGTATGTATGTATATATATGTATAT